TCATGTATCATAAATCATTCAACAGCAATACTTTTTAGTACGAAAGATATGGTGTGAGATCTGGAATCAGGCATATGGAGTTCCAGTTCCAGCAACTCATTAGGAAGCCCTCAGAGAATCACGTAGAGGTTCACTTTTTCAGTGCTGCCAAGCTGAGATGCTCTGCAGCGAGTTTCAGGAGTGCCGTGCACCTGTATGCTGGGTTCAAGAGCTGATACCTCTGCTCAAGATCCATCAATATCCATTTTTTGTAAACTTTTGTTTTATCTAAGCCAAAGATGAACCAAAAGCCCTTATGAGGACTATGTGAACTGAATCATACAAATAAATAAACCAAAAAATTACTACATACATTAATTAATTCAAATAGACAAGCAATAAAACATAGAAAGAATTAGCAGAAGCTTTAAACAAAGTAGTCACCACCTATGGTTGCTGTCCTGACCATCAGAAAAGTCTTTAAAAGTATTCTGAGAAGATAAACCCAAGAACAAAAAGGGCAGAAAAAACATGGATATAATGGAGACATTGACATTGACCATATATCAGTATTTTCCACACACATGCTACTTCATGGCCCAAAGGAAACATGTAACTGCTGTTCTGGATAAGACCCACATTACTTCTCTCCTTGTAAGTTTCTTCCACTGTTGCAGATGCCAGGTACCCTTTTTTTCCCCCCTCAAATTTTTTAACTGATTTACCTAGCAAAGTTAATTCAGAGCAATTTCTTCCTGTCTGTCCTTACCATGAAGTTTGCTCTCTCTGTGTGTTTGTACCTGACTATCGCAGTCAGAGTAAAAAGATTACTTCTCCTTGCAAACTGTCCTTTTCTTAAAAATTTAGAGTACTTAGAAATACTTTAAAATGTAGGTATAAACAATACCTACAGGTCCAGTATTTCAGAATTGCTGCATTGACAGTCAGTCTTGGCCTTAGGTTTTTATGTGTTTTTTTTTCCCAAAGCCTCCTCCAATCTCAAGAAAAGCATGTTTCTTCGCTGATCTGAGTGAGCCATGTTCCAACCAGTTCATGTAGTGAGTGTGCATTTGGGTTTCTCCCACTCCTAAAACCAAAAGCTTGGTGAAACTTGCTTGTGAAGCTCTCTGCAAATCTGGCTTCTTGCTTGTATTTGAAACAGAGTACGGGATCTGTAAGTTGGTCCTATTTCTTATTATTCAGAAGAATCCATTCTGCTACTTTCCTGTGGCCACCCATGTAGTTTGTTTCATTAGCAGAAAATGGAAGTCTGTAGTTTTGTTTGCTTTCACATAATAAAATAGGTTAGTACAATGGACTTAAGTGGAAGTGGAATTATATATGAAATTTTTTTATCATGCCAGAAAATTTCTATTAGGGGAAATTAGCCACTGGTTCTTTCTGATAAATTAATCATAGAGATTATCTATTAAATGTGCCACTTAACCTTTCTGGCATAAGTGCCTGAGGCAGTAATATTTAGGCTCTCCACATTCATTTGGAAATATTAATTTCTATGCAGCTGTCTTCCAAAATGGAATTTTCACTTGTCTTTTTTATAAGTAGGTCATTGTGCAGCTGTTGTTAATAGAGACTGGCATTTGTAAAATGGTAAATCCACCATTTTTCCTATCGGTCACAAAATTTATCTCCATTAATTGCAGAATATCCATTACTAAAATGCCCTTTCTCAGCCCCAAAGGGTGTCATCCCTTGCTATGATAGCCTTTGGCCTTTTTGGAATAGGAATATGTTTAAGACATCTATTTTGCAAGAGCTAAAGCACCACTATGTTCAGACTGTCTTCCATTAGTTTATGGGTTTGCTGTGATTCTACATCATCACTTCCATCTACATTAGAGCTGCCTTAAAATTAATCTTGAGGGAAATTGGTATGACAGCTATCAGCTGTCAAAGAAACAGCTGTCTTGACTACTGAACTTCCAGGTCCAAATCCTCCTCCTGCCCTGTACAATGAAATCAGTTGGTCTTTTCAGTGTAGACAGGGCCTTACTGTCCCTGTAGTGGTCAGCTGTTGCACAGCTTACAGAGAGACAAGCAACTCCTGGAACAGCTACAGACCTGTCCTGTGGTCTTTGAAGATTAGAATTAGGACTTTGGCCTGGAAAACTTTCTTATGTGTCATAAATTTGCATAATCTGCTATAAGAATAGTTTGAACTCTAAAACTCTCTGAGGTGTGTATCCTAGGGAAAGAAGAAGGAAGTGCTGGCACCAAAGGAATCTAAGAAAAGAAAATACAAATGGCAGGTAATCTATAAACTTATTAAACTAATTAAATGAGAGAAAACATTTCAAAATTTTAGAATATAGTGTTACAAAAGAAAGTAAATGGAATTTACATTATGTAATCAGCAAGCACATTAATCACAGGTAATAAAATCAGCACTTCAGAAAGTGGAATCGGTAGCAAGGCAGTGATGTTACACTCATAGTTTGTCCGTACTGTGAACTAGAATTAATACATTATTGATTACTTGAGCCTATACATTCTTGCACAGATATAACTAAATATGAGAAGAATGCTTGTAGATTTGGGATGTTATGCCATCAAAATCCTGCTGACTTTGGGTTTGGATCAAATAAAATTGAAGACCTTCAAGGTTTAATATCTGGAGGGTTTGGAGACAAATCAAATAGTGCAAGGACTATGATAAAAAATGACAGCGAGGGGGGAAACAAAATTGAAGAGAGCTGTGGTGAAACTTGGACTGAGGTACAGTTGGGCAGTTGTGCTGCATAAGAACATAGGATTAAATTTCACATGAAAATTGAAAATTGAACAGTTACAAGATTCATGGTTGCTACTTGATCAGAGCAGGAAGAAGCTACAGAGTTATACTGTGGTTCAGTAATTTGCAAAGGAAGTGAAAAACTCAGGTGGCCGGGGAAATACAGTGTTGAATGAGGATTTAAGAAAGGAATCATCAAAAAATATTTCAGCAGGTCATGTAACAAGAGGCAGTGAAATCCTGAATGTGAAGAGAGTAACACCTTGGATACCACCCATGTTTTATAGTGAAAGGCAGAACACGGGAATTGCCAGTTTTGAAATAATAAAAGTGTAAAAGTAGAAGCAAAATTGAGACATCAACATTTAAGAAAACAACAGGATAGCTGAGAGGAGCTGCAAGAGAAGTGAATGTAAATTTGTATACATGGCAGACCTTGAAGCTAATCAGTAGAAAGTGATGAAAGTGCTCAGAGAACAATGACTACTGCTGATAGCAGGAGAGAAACTCGGGAACAGTGTATATAAAGAATCCCTGGATTTGGTACAGATGTAGTGAGACCACTTTAATGAAATCCAATTTGCCCTGATTTGAGAAAAATCAGGAGTATTTCATGGCTGACTATCAAATGCTATTAAATGCTATATTATTAATATAATTTTTAAAAGGGTATTTGTTGTGTCCCTGTAACTAATAGGAGGCATTTATTAAGCCAAAGAACTTTATACCCTGGGTTGCAGTGTGACACTGAACAGGATTCTAAGATTATTGAGGGTTTTATCCTAAAAGCTTTGAAAAGGAAGGAAAATGTATGAAGTTTGCATGGCAGAGTGCATGATGAGCTAAGTGGCTTCTTAAAGACTTACTGGGCATTTGTGGGCTTCTTTCTGGAATCAGCTCCATAGTCCAATTGTTACCTGTCATTTCATTTTCCTTCCTTAGGTGAAGGTATGCAGGGAACCACATGCACTGATGGATGGTCAGGTAGATTCAGACAGTATAAGAGAAGGCTTTAACCTGGAGAAATTGCCTAAACCTATGATTGGCAGGGATTAGAGTGGCCTCCAAAATGTAAAAAAAAATAATACATATCAAGTTATTAAGATTTATTTTGCTGAAGAAAAAAGGCTTTAGTCTATTAAACAGTTATTTAAAGTCTGAAAAATAAACCTTAGAAACAAGCAAATGTGAGGTAAGGAGAGGCCTTTTTTAGGCAGTCTATTATCACTATACTAGAGGTACAGATTTGCTAATGTAATTAAGGCTCGAGTAAGAATTTTGTTTTGCAGCAAGTACAAGAGGCTGATCCTGCTGCTGAAAACTTGGGCTGTGATTTTAGTGACACCAGTCAAGTTTGCCCTCAAGTTTGGGCTCAGATCCATAAAGGGGCTTAGGTGCTTAAAATATGACTTCACTGGGATTTATTCACCTAAGCCACAGAGTGCAGTCTCTGGAATTTGACATGCTTCTTTACATGCCCGTGTTTAGGCAGCGTTCTACTTTGTGCCCAGAACAGCCCTTTTTTTCTTTCTGAAGAATGGTGCAGCTGCTCACCCGCCTGCCCTGGCCTGCATTCCGAGTAGCAGACCGTGGCGCCGGCCGGCAGTCGCCGCAGGTCAGCCGCGTTGAGCTCCTTATGCAACGGGCAGAGGAAGCCAGGCCCTGGAGCAGAGACCAGAGCAGGCGGCTCTCTGAAGTTCGGCCATCTGCAAGAGCGGGTAGATGCTGCTGGCAGGAAGGGTGGGCACCCTATGGGGATTAGAGGTGTAGCACGGATGTCACGGTGGTGTCAACGCCAGGCAGGGTTCAGAACGCATCCCCACCCTGAGGCCACGCAGCGGGTGGCTTCCCTCATCGCGCCCCATGCCCCTCACACCCCTCAACTGGACCACGCTGGACCAGGCCGTGGGGCTGACCAAGGGTAAAAATAACACCGGGAAAAGCCATTGCTTTTACCCTGGTCAGTTACCGATGCACCCAAACAGCCCTGGCACAACTGCGGCGGCGGCCAATGAGGAACCGGACAAGCAGGGTCCGCCGAACCGCTGCGCCCGCCGCCGCGCACATGTGCCCCGTGGCGGGGAAACAGCTCTTCCCTCAGCGCAGGATTTACAGCCCCAAGGGCCAAGCGAACCCTCCGCGCAGGCCTCCACCGCGACCGACTGCAGCAACGCACAAACCCCACCATTACTCGTCCCTCTCGGGGCCGCGCAGGCGAACTGAGGGAATCCCACCGTCAGGGCGGGCGGGGCGGCCGCAGGGGGGGCGGGGCCGGCGGCAGGAGGCCGAGCTCGCCGCTATAAAGGCGGAGGCGGTGGGGATTGCGGTGTTCGCCGTGTTCGCTTCGGGGCGCCTTATTGTTGTCTGCTGTAGCCCTCCCTGGCCGCTAACATGGCGCTTTCCGGCGACCCCCAGTTTAAGAAGCTGGTGGAGTGGCACAAGGCGAACTCGTCCAAGCTCGTCCTGCGGCAGCTGTTCGAGGCCGACAAGGATCGGTTCCAGAAGTTCAGGTGAGGCTGGGCTGCTCCCGCCCGCCCGCCCTCCCTCCCCCGCGGCTCAGCTAGGTAGCAGTCACACCTGCCCTCCACACCGAGCACCGTCGCCCGCCGGGCCCTCGGGCTGCCGGCACGACGGGCACTTCCGTGTGCGAGGCCCGGGACTGCTTCGGGCTGTGTAGCGCTGCCTCCCTCTGCCTCCCGCGCTCCCTCAGGTGGGCGCTGCCATAGAGCCAGGGCCTCACCGCGGGCGGGATGCGCTCTCCCGCCTCAACTGCGTCGGGGCTGGGCGTCTGCTGCGCTCCCTGTTGCATGTGCTGTCCCGGGAGAGGAGCGGGGACCGGCGGGGGAGCGAAGGAGGGAATCGCCGCTCACAGATGTAGCTGCTCTGCTCGCTGCCGCTCCCGCCGGCTTGCGGAGGGGCCAGGGAAAGACGGTCGAACCCGTTCCGGCCGCCCGCAGGCCCATGGCAGGCCGGGCACATGCGCCTGGGGCCTGCAGCTCTCTGCCGGGAGCGCGGCGTGGGCAGCGGGGCGGGTGCGGGCGGGGGAGCGCTGCCCGGCGTCCCCCGAGGAGGGCGGCCGAGCCCGCTTGTCCTTGACTCATCCTTGCAGCAGGGTACGTGCCGGGAAGCACAGCGTCGGGCTGCGGCTTGCACAGCGGCATTGTGGGTCCTCCGTTTCTCAGTCTCTCGCACCCGTGTGCTTAGTCATGATAAGCTCCGCGATAAAATCGCATGGAGCCATCCATCCATGTGCCTCTACCTGTCAGGAGTACGGTGGTGCTTATTCCTTCTCTGAGATGGGGAAGGAGAGGGCTGGTTAGCAGGTTTAGCCCTCCCTTGCTTCATGCTATCCACGTTGCAGCAGATGTATTGCAACACATTAACGTGTGAGGAGGAAGTAAGTGTGAGCAGTACGGTAACGTTCAGCAGTTTCATCCTGCACACCAGAGACTGTGTTCAGAAGTTGTGTGTGGCTCCCTTGGAGTATATAACAGCAATTTGTAACGTAATAGCATGTAGATGTGTCCCTGACTTAGTTTTAAAGTGAGCATGGGTAATGTAGATAAAGTGAGCTTCTGTTCTCAAACTTGTTGTAAAGACTTCTTGTAGTATCAAGCTTTTCAGAACTGTCCTAGATAAAGTGATTTTTCTCCCTTTTGAGCTCATTAGATAATTCTTAAATCATAATTAAACATCATATATGAAGTCCTGCACACTGGCAGATGAACCTTAGAATGTCAGTTGCATTGATGGAAAAGGTACGCTAAATTTTTGGAGTGTTGACTTCATCCGGCTTTTCTAACAGGATTTTCTATACTGTTAAAGAACTGTGTCAGTATTATACACATCTAGCTTTTCTCTATTAGAGCTAGTTCTGGTTGCAGGATTTCCTTGTATCTACTATATTTGAAGAGACTTGAATTTGGTAACATCCTTGGAACATGGGAAAGATGAAATAAACTAGCTAAATAAATCAGAAGGTAAAATGAAGCACGTTCTTACAATGTTCCTTCCTGAATGGCTTAAGTAAGTACTCCTATTGGGGATAGCACTGCATCTTAATCTCACTGGCTGCCACTTTAATCATGAAATACAAAAATACAATTGCAGAACTGGCAGCCTGGTTTGGTTTGACAGATCTGCCTGTATATATCTCACCGATTGCCACTTTGAGCCAGATCAGCAGGATCTGATGGTGGTTAACATGCATTGAAAGCCTGAGCAGTCTGGGGGACTGGCCACACGATCCTTTGTGGTTTGCACCTCTCTCTCAATGTGAAATTCATCTTTGTTAGTACATTTCAGTTAGTTCTGTTAGGTATTGTCATAAAAACATTGACTATCTTATCTTCCATTAGAAGGAAAAGAGAAATTTATGCTCACCCATGTAAAAGTGCTTCCTGATTCTGGAGAAATTAGACTGGTGTGAATAACATAATCTGAGTATTTTATATTTGAGAAACAAGTATCTAGTTAATTTTATTACAAGATCATTACACTTGGTGATTATATCCTACAGAATATAGATGGAAAATCCTCTCTTCCTGTTGTCTTTCTCAGAATTTGTATCTCCTGTTTTCCTGATTGGGAGTGTAGTCAACCCTATAAGGTATACCTTTGGCTTTCGTTGTCACCCAAATGTAAGGTCTGGTAGGAACAGTGGGTATTAACGACATGAAAAACTCCACTATTTTGACGGGGTTAGAACTGATCTGATGCAGCTGTCATAAAAGACAGTAGATAGTAGATACCTGGATGCTGATTAAGTTACTCTCAATGTAAACAGGTAGTGCAGGATATAAAGCACTATTATTATATTCCTGCTAGCTGGCTTGTCCATTATGAAGGATCAAAAAGAGCCCACAGTCCAAATAGAAAATATACTACCAGGGAATCCATGTGTAATAATACATTTAGGGATTGCATACAGACTTAGTTTGTGTTTAGCTGAGAGATAAAATCATTGAGATGCTGTGGGTGGCCTTTCAGTTAAGGACTGCATCACTTAAATGTGGATGTGGCTTACGTGACAAAGCTCTTGTTCCACCTAGGTAGTGCTACCATTAGTTGCTGCATTGCAGAATGGGTAGTGTAGTAGAATGCAACTGAGCTGCAGGGTTTAGGGCTGTTTAAACAAGGGTGGATCCCTTGGTGTAAAGGTTTAAGATGAGATTATGTTGCATGTCGTGTGCTCCACAGTGTGTGGGAAGTTAGATCTTGCAACAATTGCTTGCTTTTTTGTGTGGAACATCTTGGGATGCCATCTTTCTGCAGTTTCTTCAAATGCATCGTGATTTGAATTCAGCCAGAACTCCATGGGATACTTTGTCTTTTAGCTGTAGTGAGACAGATTTTTATATTCATATAAGTAAAATAAGAATGAATTCTAGAAGTAAGGTATATGTCAGGTAAATATAAAGACAAGATTGTAAGGATTTTGTGTTCATGGAGTAGAATACTGGGAAAGATTATTTTTCTATATTAAACTAGATGAGAATTTTAAGAGTTCTACATCTTTAAATTGAAGTAGTATTACTATAGTAATGGCCTTGAGGTATCATTAATAAAATGTGTTAAAATCTGAGAGCTGCCTGTAAATAAATTATAATTGTCTGACTTGAAGGACGTTTTCTTATGTTTCTTCTGTACTTTACCAATAAATAGCAAACTTTGCTGGTCAGAGTCTTTCTCTTGGCTAGTTGTATTCTAGGTACCCTTGTGCTGGACGGTCAGGGTTTCAGGATTACTGTTTGCAGCCCAGTGAAGAGAACAGTGATTAGCAGTTACGATACTGTTTTTCCTTCTTTGACTTGTGTTCATACCTATAAAAGAAACACTCTTCAAAGAAAGAAACAATCTTCAAAGATAGAAACACTCTTCAAAACACCTTCCTTTCCTTATTTACTGTCCCTTGTATTTTAGGACCAGAAAAAAGGCATACTACTGTGTTTTTCCCTCAAGTTTATAAAGCCACCCAAATGTGTAGGCTTTGCTGATTATTGCTGTTATTACAAGTTCAGCTTCATTCTTCCTTGGCAGAATTTTGCTTGATCTTTCATATTATATCTGTTTGGAATAGCAATTAGGGCATGGTTTGTCCCTGTGAAGTCTCTGGCATACATGGTCACTAAAATAACAGTGCATATTTCTGTGCTCAGTGTTGGGAAGGAGAAAGCAGGGGAGCTAGTGAAGAATGTGGAAGCATAGAGAATTGAGAAGCAATTTCCTCTGGCTTCTGCAAGTGGAGCAGAAGGGAGTAAGATACAAAAGGCCTTCTGTGCTTGTATAGGAGGCCTACTGAACTATTTCAAGGACTTGGGTTCTCCAGTTCAGAGTAAATGTGTATTTTGGCTGTCAATTAGTGCAAAGAAGAAATGGTCAGAAAACTGTGCTGTAAAGGACTTAGAGAGACTGTACAACTTCTCCCATGGCTACAAAGCTAGTAATACAAATGGGTTCACTTGATTTCCACTGGACTACCATTTCTGTGTTTAATCTCAGCGGTAAACCCAAAAGTGCTTGTGTTTTGAAGTGGTAGGCTATAGCTTTCAGAAGATGATTAGTAAAATAACTTGGAGACTTCCATTGGGTCAGTGAGACTGTACCATGCACAAATAGGAGTTTAATTGTGCATAGTAGTTGACAGAGTGTTTCTGTACATGATGTTGTATAGGTTTTTAAATCATGCTTGTTCAAGTTACCGTATAAAATAATGACTGTGTAGTTGTTGAAAGGACCTGTAGAAAGACAGTTTAATTTTTTAGCAGCAAAAGAATGTGGTAAGCTTTTTACCTATGATATATTAGGAAAAAAGCTAATTATTGCTAGAGAGTGCTAATGGCATAGTGAAAATAGAACAGGAATGTCCAGCTATTCATTAAATGTACTTTATTGTATTTGAACTTCCATAAGCAGAAAGTGGACACTATAATTTAGCTTATTGAAAACCATAGTCTTCAATTAAAACAGTACACTAGCAAGTCGTTTTATGAAACTCATGGGGCAAATCAGTCCCTCAGGTTATCTTTACTAACTTAGTATAATTAGATTCAAATTATTTCATAATCTGTAGAGGAGTTATCATAGTCTTGCTTTAAACAGTTTTTCTCCAGGAATTTGCGATTAAAAAACCTGTTTGTTTTGGCAGCCTGACTGTGAATACTGATCATGGGGATATCTTACTGGATTATTCAAAGAACCTTGTTACAGAAGAAGTGATGAAAATGCTGATGGAACTGGTAACTGTTTAAAATGTTGAATTAATAAAACTTCACTTTAGCCTAGTGTCTGTATTTACAACCCTTCCCTGGCTACTGGTGCAGCCAAAGGCTTAGACCAGGTAGTGCTTCCTGTTTTAAAAATGTATCCTAGCAAAAATAGCCATAGCAAAATGACTTTTCCTCCTCTTCACTTTAAAGAGAAGATAAAAGCTAGTACAGGAGATCACTGAACTGTATAGTAGTATGACAACATGAAACTGAATTATTAAGATGGATTTATTGCATCTCTGTTATTCAGCACATGTTATTTTGTAACTTCTCAAGGAAATGAACAGCCTGTATAATGCTTGCTTTACAAGAAGAAAAGTTTTAAGGTAGAATCAGGTGGGTTTTTTAATCTAATACTGTAATTTGTTTCACCATCTTATGGTAAATGTTCATACTTGATGTAGCTGGACCTTCCTAGTGCATGTTGGCTTCGTACGGTTTCTAAGAGGAATCTATTTTTATATTTTCCAGGCTAAGTCAAGGGGTGTGGAAAGTGCCAGAGAGCATATGTTCAGTGGAGAGAAGATCAACTTCACAGAGGTAAGGCTATTTCTGTCCATGGGTCTCCTCTTCAGTTGTGCTTGTATATTACAGATGGTCATGCATCTATGTAGGAAGTCTTGAAAACAACTTACTCTTTGAAATGCTGAGTGATTGTAATGCTTGCTGCACTACTTAAATGAGAAATTCTTACAGCGCTGACCAAGACAGAAGAAAATGTGCATGGCTACAGCTATTCAATCCTCCCTTCCACACATCTTAATCTTATAGATTCTGGTGGTATTTTTTTTTATTTTGTCTTATCCTACTTTCTATGAGTTAAGAAAAGTTAAGTCTTGCAGTGGGCATAGAGCAGAGTATTGCATTGCAGGCATCCTTTATATGCTTTTGCCTGATGTTGGTGATCATAAAGCTTAGTAAATTTCCTGCAAAGTTTTAGTGAGGGTTGTGGAAGACTGAGGTTTCTGGAAGACTTTGGGCTGTTGGTGCTACTTATCTTTTTGTATGTTTAACAGTAGAGACTATAAACAATCTTGGGGAAATTAGCTACCTATTTCAGTAAGAGGATGAGTATCTTGCTCTTTTTGTAGATATGAAGGTTGAAATTACAGTTACACCTTCACCAAAATATACAGAAAGCCAAATATATGTTTTCTTCTGAAATGAAAAATAGGAAAAACTGGAAACTCTTTAGTGTGATTTATTAGTCTACCTTAAAAATTAAAGGCTATTTTGTACATTTGAGGTAAATTCACAGAAATCATTATTTCCTTTGGCTTGGTTATTAACTGATGTAGCTGTTGCACAAGCTGTTGGCTTAAAATAACTCGGCAGTTGGATGTTGTATTGTTTGAGAATGCTCCATGTTTGTAAAAATGCACAGACAGATAAAGCTTCACTGAAGAGATGATTCCTTTTCTTTCTGTGTTAATGCTTTCAATTCGCACTAGCAATTCTAGCTAGTGAGAAATGGAAGTGGAAAAGAAGGTGATGTCTTAAACCTACCTGGAGAATTGTCACCTCAGATATTTTGTCTCGCTAGCCTCACGTAAAAATTGCTGCAGGGTTAGCACATCTTTGACTGTATGTTATGGAGTTACTCTTCATTGTCTACATGAGAACAGATGTAGCAGCTGAAGTCTTCTCAGAAAGATGTAATTTTCACAGAAACCACTTAAACACAGTATTAAACCATGTACTTGGCTTCTAATTCTCTGCTTTGCTACTGTCTTGATACATCAATTTTCATGTAGCAGTTACCTGCATGATGAGTCTAGAAACATCTTTTTTGTATTGGCCTGTTTCTCAGAATTAGATTTGGCTTGCTTAATTTTTCCTGTTTGTGTAGAATACCACATCAGATTGTTTTGGCTCAGGAATAAGAGCATGTGGACAACATGAAATTTGTCTGGAGACATTAAAAACAGGATACTTTCAAACAGCATGACTGAATAAACCTAAAGCAATATGATAGAAGGGAGCTCCTTAATGACAAGAGCTGAATTGTCTACTACTCTTGTTCTGTTTTAGAATGTTTTTAGCTATTTGTCTCAAGTATTTTAAGACTTGTCTGTGTTTGGTGCTGCAGGCATTGGCTGCATGGTATGTGCTTATGTGGAAATTCTTTAAAGTGCATCCAGGTGTGTCATTGCCAGGTGTTTGTCCCAGATGAGTTAAAACTTGCAGCTTGGTAAGGCACAAAGACAGTGCATTGCAGGGTATCTCATCTAACCCCTCATTATGGGACAGGTTTCTCAGTCCATCTGATATTTAGAAAATACTTCCATTTAACAGTAGACATCAGGTCAAATATGACTGCTTCTCGAAGACAGCACTTCCCTCAAGCTGGTTAGTGAGCAGGATTTATCAAATACCATTCCATGGCTGAGTTGCAGGAAAACCTTCCTCTGTTTGCTACAAATACCAGTGGGTACCCTTTGATAATTAGCAGCTGAAAGAGCTTTTTCATATTCCAAGTCAGACTCAATGATTTTTGAATTAGCATTTGGTATTTAAATCATGACTTGGCAGTTCATATTGTTTGTGTTGTCTTTGTCTCACAATGCCTCTCACTGTATCAGGGAACAATGAGGTAGAACAGACTAATTTTTAAATTTGTTCATTAGTATTGACTATCTCCTTCATCCTAGATTCAAGCTGTTCCAGTTCAGGTGAATCACAGGCCAGATTTCTATGCTTTGACTTATGTATAACTAGAGAATTAACATAAAATGGTGCATACTGGCCCTTTTTTCCCAACACAACTACCACCAATATAGCTGGTGTGTCAGTATTCAGAGAAAATTTAATTGTGAGCAATGGATAGAATAATAGGGCTACTGTATTCTGTTTTGTCAAATCCATAAGTATGTGTCTCTTCCTATATGAAATATATTACTCAGGGTAATTGAGAAAATGCCAGAGAGCTTTGGCTGCTTGTTAGAATTGATTTTCAGTGTTGTCATTGATAAGGATCAACTTCATTCTCGTATACCTGAAGCATGCCAAAGAATTAAGGTCACTGAGTACTGATTATTGCTGAATTCTGACCCCCAGTTATTAATTGCTTGTCAAGGGATCTTGAGCTTTCTTATCAATATAAACAAATAAGCTATTTGTTTACTTTGCATATTGTGTTTTGGTAAGCCCTCTGCAGTGATTCTGTGAAGTGAGAGGGTGATTTAGATAGCTGGTGATGAGTGTGTATTATACACATACATGCACATACTACTGCTTTACTAATTCCAGTGAATCTAAAGAAATTTTAAGCTGCGAAGGTCATACTGCCTCCTTGATGCAGTATCTGAGACCCCTGGGTATGATTAGGAAATAGCTTCATGAATTTTTTCCCTTTTTGTTTCAGAACCGAGCTGTGCTTCATATTGCTCTGAGAAATCGTTCCAATGTGCCAATACTTGTAGATGGGAAGGATGTTGTTCCAGTAGTAAACAAAGTGTTGGACAAAATGAAGCACTTCTGCCAGGTATAAAATACTACCATAGTTTACTTCTCATATAATTATTCTATACCTAGCCCAGTTCTTATGTGTATTGTGAAGCAGTGATTGTGGGCTGCTTCACATGAGTTACTGTGCCCTTGTTTTGATGTTAGTAACAGTTCTGGCTCAAGCATGGAGTTAGAGCTGGGATTAGTATGATTTGCTCTGTTTTCTCTGTGCCCAGTTTGGGTTTTTCTGGGTTTTGGGATTTTTTTTTGTTTGGTTGTTGTTGGTTTTTTTTTTGTTTTTTGTTTTGCTTTTGAGGGTTTTGATTTTTTTTTTTTTGCTTAATAGGCTCTCTAGATCTTGCTGTTTTCACAGTAATCTTGCACTTACTTCAGAAGACTTGAGGCATTTAGTGCCATTCAGATATTGCCTTTCTTCTTGCTAATTTTTCAGTTACTTGTCTCTGCCGAGTAGAAACTACTCTATCAATTATTGTAAAATCGGAGAGGTAGGAGTTGCCCAGTCACTTGCAATTTGATTACACTCTGCTTAAATAGTTTCTTAGACTGTTTTTATGTCAGATTCCATTATGATTCTATTCTGTTACAACTTTAGTGGTGTGAAATTTTTGTTATTCCCTAATTAAATACAGCAGTTAAGCATTATCTTCAAATATCATTAATTGGTTTTGTTTTTTTTTTGATGCTGTACATTTTTAAAATGTAGGTGTGTTGTCAGATTAGTTAAGGAAATGCTCTGAAGAACTTGGTACTCTAAAGTCAAATTTATGTGATTAATCAGTAAAAGTTCACTGGGTAGTTTTTGTGCATTTTAAACATGGCTCTGAGGAACTAACTTGGTTGATTGAGTCTTATCCAGGTGGTAGTGGCTGGTATTGCTGCCAACTCATACTTGTTAATGTATACAGAATGAGCCTGTACTGTGTTCAGCTCCTAATGAATAAATGCCAAAACCGCATTTATTATTAACTGATGCTAATTGGTCTGAATTTGGTATTTTCTTCAGATAATGCAAGAACTGAATTGGCTACAGAAATTCAGTGATGTCTTTTCCACTGTATAGTTGTTTTCACTAATTAAGATTTTGGTGGTAAATATCACTTTCCATGCAGATGTATCTCTTCTGTAAAATAAAAGTAACGTTAAGCAGGTCATTTGGAAAGATTAACAAAAGATGCTTGTTACAGTCAACTCAAGCAGATGTAATGTTAAAATATGATCTACAGGCTACAGAAATGGTATATATTAAAAATGGATTTTCTTTAAGATTTAACTTAAACATTGGCGGAGGAGAGCAGCTATCAGCATAACCAGGTGATTTGTTGTAGAGGAATTGATTTAGAATGGGGGAATGTATGTTGAAGTGTGCATGATACTAGGAAGATTAATTTTGTGATTGAACAAATTTAATGCGTAGGGTGGTACCTGATGGGCAAAATCCAGTGCAGTTTTTTGATAATTACTTAATGATTGTAATTTTGTTTGTCAGAACTCACAGTAACTATTAAAATGACAACAGTAGAGCAGAAACCTGCCCAGAAATAAATCTTAATGCAAACATACATGCATTAGAAAAGCTTTTTGAATATTTGGTTTGCCAGTAAATTGCTATCTGCATGGCTCTATTCGTTATTTTAATGTTTTCCAGTTTAGTTAGCCAAATTGCTTCTAAAGGCACTTAACCCCTTCCGCTTCTGATATTTGTTGCAAATAGTTCAATGCCCAATACTTTTCATTTTTAGCTTTATTTCTTTTGCCTTTGTCAATACTGTAATTGCTATAGCAGCCCCTACAGAGGAGAGTTTGATACTACAGTGTGCTTTTAAATACGTGCATTAGATTTCTAACCCTTAATGAAGGGTTATGTTGGCTATAACTAAATCTTGAGTTAAGAAGGTAGCTTTGTGTGTAGGCTTTAAAGTCTAGAAGCTTGAAAGTTGTCTTCAGAGACTTTCTGCAGCAGTGCCTGAAACCAGCATTTTCAGTGTTAGAATCACTAACTTTAGGTGTAAAAGAGTCATGGCAATATTCTTTGTTTCTCACAGCGAGTCCGTAGTGGTGAATGGAAAGGCTACACTGGAAAGGCAATCACTGATGTCGTCAATATTGGGATTGGTGGCTCTGACTTGGTAAGATGACTTCTATATATCTTCCGCTTGCAGTTAAGATAAAATGTATGTGTATGCTTGCAGTTAAGATAAAATTTTGTTGCTTCTATCCAGGGCCCTCTGATGGTAACTGAAGCTCTGAAACCATATTCCAAGGGAGGTCCTCGTGTTTGGTTTGTATCCAACATTGATGGTACTCATATAGCCAAAACCCTGGCTGAGCTTAAGCCAGACACTACGCTCTTCATCATTGCATCAAAGGTATGTCTCTTACAAGCACTGGAGTATGCCTTTCTGTAACTGTAAAGGATTCAGTCAGAACAGAAATGTGTACACAGGAAGATCTAGATCAGGGACTATTTCTAAACAGGTCTGTTGTGATTCATCCTGAAGTTGCAGTGCAGTCTTGTGTTGCTACTGAAATACTTGTGAATCCAGAAGTCAAGTGCTGAAAATTACTTATCCTACAAGAGAGACTATAAGCAGTTTTGTATTGTCTAGAAACATGTGTTTCTCAGTCAACACAAGTTTTCAGCTTTATTCACAATGCTTTATTTTACTGTGTGGAGTGTCAAATCCTGTGTGGTTATTTTTTTGAATTCAGGATTTTTTGCCTTATTCCTTACTCTTAAGGTTACTTCTGGTTCTTTTTCTTAAGTGCAGTGTAACTTCTTAACAGTGTTCTGGTTCTGCATTAATGTTTTTTGCATTAATTGTATGCAGTTTGGAAATCTTCATTCTGTTTTAGGGTAGTAACAGTATGTCTACACCTAAATAAATGAGCCCTTGAGCACTATATATATAATAATCTTCTTTGTTTACAAAGTGGCAAAGATGGCACTTATTTCTGAGTACAGACTACAGGCCTTCAAGTCTTGCTTTGCTATTAACTATTCTATAAACACAACTGCTCTGCCATCTTGCATTGAGGAATGCTTCTGTCAGCAGAGGAAACGTATGAAGACTCATAGTTATGTAACTTGGGTTGCCTACATTTGTAACGCACAGTAGAACCTTTTTGCTGTTGAAGACAATCTGTAACAAATGAGTGTGTGTAATACTGACCATGCTCTACTGTGGTGCTCATTATCTTATTTTCGCAATACTGCAGCCAAGCAACAACTTATGGAATAATAAAGAAACTTCACAAACTAATGCGCATGGCCACTTTGAATAATTGAGATGAACAACCACGGTTCAAAGGTTTAGAAGACTGCCAAATTGAAAGAGTAACACTTCTATTTCTGTTTGCCAAACTGTAGTTAGATAATTGGATATATTTGGAAGCGGATGAATGGCACTTTTTTGTTTCCCATAAAAGGCTTGTGTTTCATAATGAAATACTTCTGAGATGGATGAGAGTAAGTTCAGTCTGGTGTTCACCCTTACAGCTAAATTTTGATGGGTGAGTAAATCAGAATGGTTGTAGATATTTGCAAAACTGCATGACTGAACTTCTGTGCACACTTCATGAAGCAACAAAATGTTTTCCTCTAATCAGCAAAACAAAATTATGGCAGGAGTCTTGGGAGAAATGAGTGCTCTTACATGAAAAAGTAGAAATTGAAGAACAAGATAACAATCCTGTTTTGATGCTTAATTAGTTCCTTTTTAGTTGAACGGTAAAACTTTGCATTTAGTGAAAGACTAGATAATTTAGTCTCAAAGTTTTGCATAGCAGTTTGGGATAGGGAAGATAGGAAATGGGGAATAACAACTATTCTGATTTCAGATATATGTTAGTTTAAAACTAGATAGGCACATGTCACAGCCTGGCAAAATGGCACATTTTGGACTGATAAGCTTGCTTTTTTGCTGAAATGTGACAGCAGGTATCTATTCTGAATATCTACAGTTGCTCTGCTCTGATTATTGGAACATACAATGTTTTAGTAGCCTGAACTGTTCTCAGTTTTAAGTACAGTGTTTTACATACTTCTTTGTTTCCTGATGGGCAGACTTTCACCACCCAAGAAACTATCACCAATGCAGAAACGGCCAAAGAGTGGTTCTTACATGCTGCTAATGATGTAAGTCTAATATGTTTAGGTTGCATAATGGAATGCAACAGCTTTTTCTTGTGCAGTTTCTCCCTGGTCATCCTGTGTTCTTTGGAGCAGAGCCAATAGCTGCCCAGACATAAGATGTATAGATCAGCAAATACTGTATGTGTATATATATATAATATATATAATATAAAATTTAATATATATAATGTCAGTGTTTCATGGTTAGTGACAGACTGTATATCTGATCAAAGTGAAGATTAGTTTTTCATTATAAATGGTTTTTGTGCATTGTTCCCCCACATCCTGCCTGTTAAGTAATAGTGTTGCATTTGGCTCAGAGCTGGCTAATAATTTAGTGGAACCACTGATAACGAGAAGCCAAGAATATGGCGTCTATGTGGCATTACCTTCCAATTCTTGGCAAATATTTAAAAAGTTGAAATGAAGTTAACAGTTGGAGTGATCTACTGACATTTCAGTGGCAGATGGCTGTGCTATGAATAGAAACCTTGTGTCTGGTTGATTCTCTGCTATTTCTAACTTAAGAGAAAAAAGGAGAGTGTGCCTGCTCAGGTAATCAAGATGGTCTTCAACATGTTCAGTCAGGGTAGCTGTACATAGTTTGAAAGCTGGGCTTCAAAACTCTGTACTACACTACTACTGCAGACAATTCATCTTTGTCTACCCCAATACTTAATGAAAGACCAAAGTCTAAATTTGGAGCTTGAGATTTATCAGTAATATCACTTGTCTTGACCTTTTGACCCTAGTTGGAAGGGTAGTGCATGTGCAACAAACTCCATGTGCTCCTAAGTGGTGGTAGTGATGTTCTGGACTCATAACATACTCTTAAGGAAATGGTGTGCTGCTCTAATTAGTGACTGCTTCCAGAGGGCTTCATCAGAATGTTATCAGAATGTTATCTTCAGGCAGGCATGCTGCCAAATCCCACACTGAATGTGAATAAGAAAGTCAATATAATGCAAAAATTATTTGCACTTTTTGATAGTCAACAGTATTTTGTTTAAATGGTAGCAGATCAGCTTTATGAATGGAACTCCAAACAATTAGCATCCTAGATCTAACACTGTGTTTGTTTTTGTCAAGCCTTCAGCTGTGGCCAAGCATTTTGTTGCCTTGTCTACCAATGCTGTAAGTATAACAAATTTTTTTTTCTATGTACCTTTAAGATGGCCTCATTTTAAAATCCAGTAAGGAAGCCTACCTTTTAAGACACCATTACTTGAATACCAAAAGTTAGCCTTCCTCCTGAAGGAAGCATAATTTTTTTTTCTATTAAAAAAGTGCAGCACTTCTAGGGTAATGAACTCTTATCAGGACTGGACCTTTTTTGTGGACTTGTGCTTTTTCTGCTAGAGTTTTAAGTCTGAAGTCAGATCTCTTATACTTGAAACGACTGTCCTGTTATTAATGTTACCTGTAATTGCTTACATTTGTATGAACACAGTTATGTAAATATTACTCTCCTAGACTTCTCAAGTGCTGAAGTGATGCAGGTAGTTTGTGTGAATAATTTGTAGCATATGATGAGCATAATGTACCTTGATGTGGTGTTTCATGCAAAAGGATAAAGTAAAAAGACCAAAAGCTATTAGGCTGTGCAGTAACTGAAAGGCTGTCACTGTGGTGTGAAATTCCTTTCTTCCATTCTGGTTCTGTTAAATGTAAACTGAATATCAGTTCAACTCCTAACTGTTGCCATTTTGATTAGAAAATGTGTATGTCCCCGATTTTTATTTGAGATTGCTGAAGAGTGATAGTGATCTCTGAAAGGGGAAGGTACACTTCTTTTCTGATGGATGCTTTGTATTTTTCAAATCAAGGATGTAACTGGGAAATTGCGTATTTAATAGGTATCCAACTTATGGGTTTTACTTGCTAGTTGTAAAGCTTTTAAAGATTGTTGGTTTTATGTACAGTGTTCTTAATCTTTGTTGTTGTTGGGTTTGTTTATTTATTTATTTATTTACTTTTTTTATTCTAGCCTAAAGTTAAAGGCTTTGGAATTGACCCAGAGAACATGTTTGAGTTTTGGGATGTAAGTAAATGTCTAATGTTGTGTAGTAGATGTTAACTGTTAGAATAATCTAACTTGCTTCAGAAAATGCTAACTAATGTCAGGAAACTGCCAAAACACTGAAATTATAGTAGTTGTACTCTGTACTGAAACATCTGCAACTTGCAGCTAAACTGAGTACTTGCCAGCAAGCAAAACAGTCTTGTCTCTTGCCCATTCCATTAAAATCCTGTAGTCAAAGGTCTGAAGAGAAGTCTTCTGTATTCTTGGCTATCTAATCAGCTGTTGGGTAACAGGAGATACAAGTCTTGGGTTATTCCTCTGTGTAAGTAGTTATTATAAGCTGTGACATTTGATTGTGGGGGTCTACTGTATATAATCTAGGCTTGTAAATGTCAAACATCAGAAATGGGAGACTAATTTGATATTTTGTAGCAGATGTATTTTTTAAGTATATTGCCCTTGTCTTGGCCCTTATACTTAATTAGAAACAGGTTGGTTTATGCCTCATTGACTATGTACCTGACCAACTAGATTTCTAAAACTGCTGTTTAAAAATGTGTGTAGAGCCTTACCTTTTCCTAGGTGGTGTCAAAATCCTGCTGAAGCAGACTTTACCTGTAGAGGGGTGACATTAGGAAAGCAGTTAATACAAGGTGAAATTTTAGTATTAGGAAGTGAATTGGAATAATCAAGGGATCTTCAATAGATGTGGCTCAGATTGGATGAGTAGGATAAATTTAAAGTCCAAAAAATTGCATATGTAAGGATTCATTAGGGAGCTATTGTGAAGTGTAGGTTCCCTTGACCATACCATATAATATGCAGTGAATTATCACCAGAAATGCTGTTTTTGCTGAAAATAGTCTAAGCACACACTGCTGTTTCCTCATAGCTTGAGAAAGTTTGAATTTAAAAGCCTTGCACTTCTCCTGTCTAAACCGGTCTCTTGTTTTCAGTGGGTTGGTGGCCGCTATTCTCTGTGGTCTGCCATTGGTCTCTCCATTGCCCTGCATATTGGTAGGTATTCTTATGATGGTTTTTGCTTCAGAAATATAACTATAGAATACATTAATGATAGTGTCTTGTGGATCAGATTTGGTGCAAATATTATTTTACCCAACCTACTCTGAGTGGTTGGCTGTATGACGAAAATCCAATGCAATGGCAATATTGAGATTTTTACTACTGTAAATGCAGTTTTGGAAGTTATCCATACTTAAGTACAAATGGACAAATTGCATCTCCTGAGTCACTTGGGTAGCCAAAACTGCCTGTTACATGTAAAGCCATGTCAGTGTTGAAAATCAGACCTTGCAACTGATGTTCCTAAACTATTTGAGTAGTTTCTGTAAGTACATGCATACTAAACATCAAAGCTCTGTCTCCAGTTCTGCATATGAGCTCTGTTTATCGTTGTTAACTGGCTTCTCCCATTACTTTCTTTTGTCCTCAGTACTCGTTCTTCTAGGCTATAGGGCCTGATGATACAGGAGTGCTGTTTCTATCTGCAGTTGATCATGGAACAGACCCTTGAAACAAATTCCCACCTACTAGTATTGTAGCATAGGCATTTCTGATCCAGATCTCAAATATAGGGGGAGAGCAAAGATAATGTGAAAGAGCTCAAAGAACTCTGCTGTCAGATGGTGAGCAGGTTGTTTAGCAGCCTTGCATTTGTTTCCTCATCAGTTCTTTCAGATACCTAAAAGTCTGAAGCCATGTCATGTATTTCTCTAGATAAAAGCCAGAATTACCTTAAAAAAAAAAAACATTGGTTTTGGTGGCTTTGGAATTATATGATTAGGAGTTGTCATGTGTAGAAAAACTTTCGGAACAGCAAAATAAACAACATTCAGGCACTTACTGTTTTGTCTGTAATAAACTGTTCATCTCTGCTGTCAGACAGATTTGGTGCTGATGGCTGACAAGCCAGTCTGTTGGCACTTCTTACTCTTAAATCCTTCATCTCCCAAAGCTGGCTTCTGACCATAGGTAGAGCTGCTGCTTTGATTGCTAAGCACTTCATCTCCATATGAAAATCAGGATACCTGGCTTTGCAGGAAAGGATGGTGTTAAACTGCTTATTAGTGGAAATGAATATTGATTTAAATACCCTAATTAAGAAGGGTAACCTTTTTTTGAGAAAACCATATTATTTTTTCCTCAGACCAACACTGAAATCCCTGCTGTACTAGCCTTGCCCTCTTTTTCGGGGGAGTACATGTCTTTCCCACTGTGGCTGTGAAGTTAAGCGTTCAAACTTGCTGAAGACTGTGTAGCCTTTAATACATGGCTCTGTTTTCCTTCTACTTGCCCATTCTGTCTGAATGGGGATTTTAGGCAAAGGTTTTTGAAGTATGCTTCATGAAGTTGGGACTTGCTCTGAAGCTTCAGTCATAACAGCATATGGAATTACAGGATGCAGATTTCAGAAGTCAAAGTGCAGCCTTAAACTCCAGTAATAGTTGGGAGCCTTGCTGCACACAAGGAATTTTAACTGCTTTACAATTTTCTCTACAAGGAAAATAAAGTTTGAGTTGTAGTAGTAAATTCAAACTGACTTTTTCCATTTAGGGTTTGACAACTTTGAGAGCCTGCTTTCAGGAGCCCACTGGATGGTGAGTATGTGATGCCTATTTCAGATGTTTCTCTTAAGAGATGTTAGTAAGATAACTGAAGGCAGGTTGGTTTCTGAAATTCAGCTTCTTATGTCCTCTCAATGCCTTTAAAATGTCTGTGCTTGGGGAGTTCTCCCTGGATCAGAAAACAATAAAAATAATTTCAGAGTTGTGGGGAATGACAGTTGCTTTATCAAAAGTGTAATTTTCCTTTGTGTCACATAGGATAATCACTTCCACACGGCTCCGCTGGAGAAAAACATGCCTGTTCTGTTGGCCATGCTGGGGATCTGGTATATAAACTGCTATGGATGTGAAACCCATGCCCTTCTGCCCTATGACCAATACATGCACCGCTTTGCTGCCTACTTCCAGCAGGTAAGGCTCAGACAGAGTAAGTTTCAAGAAGCAAGTATGTAGATACGCTTCCATCCTGGTTCTAGAGCCTGAATGCATGTTTCTAGGTTAAAATGTTAGCAAGGGCTTAAGGAAGACTGGTGCCATGATTTGGTACAGGCTTATTTACTCAGTTAACTTAGATTTTATCCCCCCCCCCCCGACATCCATTATCTTGATGTCCATTAAGCAGCTCTATCCCTGATTTTTACAAAGTATCCATAAATAGTCAACACTTGCTGTAATTGAAGCATGTATGGAAAATTGTTCTGATACTGTGTGGTTCTGCAAGAATGGTAATACAGCCCTTACCTTCTTTTAGGGTGATATGGAATCTAATGGCAAATACATTACCAAGAAAGGCTCTCGAGTGGATTACAATACTGGCCCTATTGTGTGGGGAGAGCCTGGCACCAATGGGCAGCATGCTTTTTACCAGCTCATTCATCAAGGTAAAATAAAACTATTCACTACCTTAGTTTAGAATTCAATTCTGAATAACTACAAAGCTGGAAGAGTCTGCAGGTTTTACACTGTTTCAAAGGTTGGACTCTTATATTCCTTAGCATCACATTGCTATGGTGTTATTCATTAGTGGCTTTAGATGCAGGTTTTCACCCTACAGTAAGGATGGTGAACTAAAGATAAAACTACAAAGCTGTACTGTCACTTCCCCCTGCTGTTAATCAAAAAGCTTTTTTTAAAAAGCTTTTTACATGGCTGAGTCTTAGCTTTGAGAGTTGATTTTTTTTTTTCTAAGTCATTCATGTTGCAGGGTTATTAATGTGCCTTTTCTTACAGGAACTCGCATGATTCCTTGCGACTTCCTGATCCCAGTCCAGACCCAGCATCCAATCAGAAATGGCTTGCATCACAAGGTAATAAGTTTTTTGTCAGGGCACCCATATTACTGTAGCTGAAGGCACTGGAGCTTAGTTATTGCAGTGTGCAAGATTTCTAAATGTCTTTTTGAAACTCTACACATATGCTCTGTGAACTTTCATAATAGGGTTGAAAAGATCTTAATTATAATTACATATTTTATGTAATAGAGTTGTAGTTTTGTTTTTGAAACTGCAGCCACAGTTCTTGAGGCAGATCAGTGGTGTGGTCTGATGGCCTAAGGAGGCTGGAAAGAGTTGACCAATTAAGTATTTGGAGAGAAAACTCCTTGTAGGAATTTTTTAGTGTGAGGTGTCCCTGCCTGTGGCAGGGGGGTTGGAACTTGATGATCTTAAGGTCCTTTCCAACCCTAACTATTCTATGATTCCAGTTGTAAGGAATGGAATTCTTGCAGAGTAGAAGTAAATTCTCAGGAGGTGATGCAGCAGCATCTCTGAGGAGGTTTTCAGATCTTGTTTCAGGACAGAATTTAGTGAGTATACTAACATAGCTAGGGTGAAAGCCTTCTAGATACAGATATTTTTTTAACAAGCCCAATTTTAGTTTACTGTATCATGCAACTGAACATTTGCAGTGAACTGCTGAACAATTTTAAGTTTTGTAGGTGGAAACGTGTCCAGGTCTACTACTGAGTGCATGCTTCAGAAAAAGCATGTTTCCTCGCTAAATTTCAATCTTTTCATGATGTCAGAATTCAAATTCTATAAAACTGTTATTGTACTTCTTGTCAAGCAATACCAAGTCCAGGCAAAAGTTTTAGAAAAACATAGCTTTGCAAAAGAAGGGGAGAAAAGGTTTAATTCAACTGTAGATATAGTGTTTATGCTCAGTGTAATGAGTACGATGAAAGTACATATGAATTTGCACGCTAACATTAGGCAAGGAATAGGAGACTAAAATCTTAATTGGTAGGGATTGGTATATGGTATGCTGTGGTGGTTTTCCTTCATACAGAGTAAGTATGTCTTAGCTGGTTTCCTTTGACTAATTGTTGCACCTGGCATTCCATGCATATTACAGAATCCCTTCTTGGAAGGGACCTCAATGATCATCTGGTCCAATGTTGATAAAGCATGATCTAGATTAATGACTCAGCACCCTACCCAGCTGAATCTACAGCCATGGTGTAGCATGTGACAAAATATAGACTATGCTGGGTGAAAGAGCTGTGTGAAATCATGGCTCCTTTTTTCTCACTGCTTGTCAGTCTCATTAGGGGCAGGACTCTGCAAAACACTCCTGGTTGTCTATGGATACATGCACTGTTAAGACAGTAATCAAGTCACCTGGCACTCCAAGGTAAAAAAGCAATAGCAGGCATTATGCAGCTATAAGTATTGCACATCTTGCTGCTATAGGGTTAAAAACAAGTGCTGTAACTATAATCAAGGTCTTGGTCTAGGTTCAAGCCCTAGATATCTTTTTCCAGCTAAGGAAATGGTAGCTTGAGTTGATGTTTTTATTTCCACTTGTTAGATCCTTTTGGCCAACTTCCTTGCTCAGACTGAGGCCTTGATGAAAGGAAAGACTGCTGATGAAGCTCGTAAGGAACTTCAAGCAGCAGGACTGAGTGGAGATGCTCTGGAGAAGCTCCTTCCCCATAAGGTAACCAGGCTTTGGCATTTGACAACTTTCCTCTGACGAGCTACTGTGGTGGTGAGGGCGCTCTGGGGGTCTGATGCTCGATGGAGTTTGCTAATGGGGCAGTGCCCTCCGGTGGCTGTCAAGTGCTACTGTCTTGACAGCTGTGAAGTTTGAGTTGAAGTTTGTCAGAAAAGATCTAATCATTGGCTGTAGGATAATGACTTGTATTTTACTTCCTGTAGACCATAGTAGTCAGTAATAGTGCTTGGAGATAACATTTTGGCATTGTTTTTAATAAAACATGAAAATGATACAATTTTATGATTGAAACTGTTAGCCTTTAAAGCTTTCAGGAGTTTGTTTTTGCTGCTAATACAGCTGGTGTCATGTGGGCTGTAAGGAAAATACAGAGTTGAAGTTTCTGATATAAGTTATAGAAAATAGTAGCTAACAATGTAATTCTTGTTTTGAAAGGTCTTTGAGGGAAATCGACCAACCAATTCAGTCATGTTTACAAAACTCAACCCATTCACTCTGGGAGCCATCATTGGTAAGTAAATAGATCCTTCTGTGAATGCTTATTAAGACTTTCTGGTAAAATTAATTGATAAATCTTTTTCTGCTTATAGCCATGTATGAGCACAAGATATTTGTTCAAGGAATTATCTGGGATATTAACAGTTACGACCAGTGGGGGTAAGTATCCTTGATATGTTTCTTGTACTGTGGTATTCCTTAATCTGTCATGACTTGGAGAAAAGACAATTAAAAGTAAATGTTTTACTGATTATGAAAGTTTTTAAATGAAACAAATTTGCAGTGGATAAGTCACCATGTATCCTTGGTCAGCCATTCATAATCGTTTTGTAGATACAACTTTAACTAAGGACCTTTGTTTTATTTGATTAAGAAAATACTATGAATGCAGAAAAGAGGCAGTAATAATGAGTAAAATAGTCAAGCAAGCAGAACACATGCTCTGAGAATTGGAAAGGGAAAATAATTTCCTTTATAGAACGAAAAAAAAAAGAATTGCTTCTAGAAACATTTAGTAAGCAGTTTGAACGGCATCTGTTAAGTAAAAGACTCACTGCCTCTTAATTCTCCTATACTGGTGATAAAAGACTGTTCTTGGCAGATGTCTTCATATACAGGAACCCTAGGTCAGACTGCACCTGTGGCCAAGGTTCATGGTAGAGTTCCATGTGGAGAGCAGCAGATTTATGAGGAGTTTGTCAGTCTTAAAAATAGAAGACATAATCAGGAGCTAATCAGATTGTTTTTAATCTGTAACAGTGTAAACTGTACAACATACTGCATGAACACTTGGCAGGAGAAAGGGATTGGGAAATGAGATTTTTCAGGTGGAACCTAGTTTTATGCTGTTGGGGTATTTTGAAGAGCAAGTTTGTTCTGCAGGCCTAGAATAGCTGTTTACACTAAGCTGTCTTAAAGGCTGAAGGATTGCTTTTTGTATATATTTTTAGAGCTATGCTACCATAGCAAGTTCTTTAACTAAAATATTGCAGTAGAAAGTGTAAATGAAAGACTGACTAATAAAAGCTGATGTCTATAGACATCTATAGCTGATGCTACAAACTGAGATCAGGTGTGGGATAGGAGTAACTACAGCTTTTACTATAACACATTGAAATCCAGAATGGCATCCAAAACTATGCAATGTGGGGAAACTGTAGAACCAGCATAGTTTCTTGCAGCTGTTTGAATATCCTAGGTCCTTAGTCTTTGTGGCTGTAACTGTTGGACAGCATGCTGTAAGTTGGGGAAGGCTTCTAGGCCTGCAACTCAGCTGTTGTTTATTGTCTTGGTGCTGCAAATGAGTGTTCTGAGTGATGACAGGTTCAACAGTGAACAGTAGGAAGCTGAATGCATTCTGCATTGAGGCAGGCTACATAACGCAACTGAGTACTGAAGGGGAAAAGACTGCTTAACTCTTACAAGAGAACTCTCTCTTCAGACATCCTGTAATTTGAGAGCTGTCTGTTCAGCTAAGCAGCTGTGAGAACTCCAGCTGTTCATGAATGGCACCCAGTTGAATAATATTGTTTGATCACAGTGTTCACTCTCAAGTTACTTTCTGCTGGCACCTATTTTTAATGTCAATATCTTACAGTAAACACTGCAGGCTGTTAGCACTAATGATGTTGTTCTTTCTTCTCCTGTTTTTGTAAATGCAGAGTTGAGCTTGGAAAACAACTTGCCAAGAAAATTGAACCTGAACTGGAGTCAGATGCTCCTGTGACATCTCATGATAGCTCAACAAATGGGCTCATCAATTTCATCAAAAAACACAGAGCCTGAAATGAAAGATTTGGAGGGGATCGACAATCTAGCCACCAAACACCCAGATCTGTTGTAGTTGTGCTTTTTTAGCCACTTTTAACAAAAATCGCACTTTACAGATGTAGTGTTACTTGTTGCAGTTAATCTTGTTGCGTCAAGTATTACAAATGAAAACTAGTTTTGTGAAACCTAGAGATGGTATAGTTGCTTACTATTATTGTGGCTGTTAATCTGTAAAGTGCAGCTGATAATGTTCCCCAGTTCTTATCCCTCACTTCCTTAAAGATGATCACATACTGATAATGGAAAATAAAAGGTATGATGGATGAGTAAACCTTCTTCACTCTATTTTTAAAGTGCAGACCTAGTAACATGTGCTTCACTGTGTAAAGTTCTCTGAAGCCAAGTAACTCCTGTATCTTTGGACTAATTCTTCTGTGAGCTGGAAACTAGAATGTGTAACAGCTGTAGATTGTTCAGGTTGCATCATTTGATGCATGTGAGCAAGATAAAGACTGTTATCCAATGCTACTGTGAAAAAGAAAGCTCTCTAATCTTTGTAAAAGATCTCCTGATTTTTCTGTATGCTGTGGCACCCTATGTGTACAGCTGTCCAAAAAAAAGAAAGCTCCTGGAGTGCCAGTGATAACCAAATTTTCCAAACAGTGTTCAAGAGTTTGATGGTAAAACTTGATCACTTGCAGAAGAAATGATTTTTTGGTGTCCTCCAGAGGCAGTTTCTCTCACTCTTCTGAAATCAGCATCACTGTTCCAACAACTTAAAAAATTACTTTGTGAACAACGTGCTTATACCCTCTTTACCACTGTTAATTCACCTTTGCTAGCAGACTGGCATGCTGTGACTATTGTTCTGTAACACCTTTAATAAAGGTAAGACAAAGCATTGAAAGGAAAATGAATAGTAACTGTGGTTCTCCTACCCTGAACTCTTCGTAACAGATGCTACTCTGGCTACAAGGTCTGAGCTTGTGCCTCTTAATGCATGTCTTTATAGCACAGATTCATTGACAAATCTTGCAGATGTGGCACACTAACAACTCTACCTGCATAAATTTGAATTGCTGAACTCAGAATATTGTGCTTAGTTGCTTAGGTTTTACTCAACTATATAAAGCAATTTTCCCACATAAAACATGGTCACAAAAGAGAATCCACTAGAGGGAGGCATCTGTTTCTGTACGAGGTCTTAAACTTTATCTGTCTCTGTAAAAGCATGTGCTAATGCATGGCTTCTGCTTTTTGTAGAGGCAGGTGTGAAGCTAGATCTTCTTCTTTAGATACCCATTGTGATTTGAATGTTCAAGCCTATTGTTTCAGTCCAGTGCTGTTGTTTCACCTTGTGTCCTCCTGGAAAAGAGAATGAATCTGTGTCTATTCTGCTACTCTGTAGGCTTGGTATTGTTTCCAAAACCTGTTTTTTCCTTGCATGGAGTTTACCAATGCGAAATATAGCCGCCCACAACAGTTTGGGGTTGAAGGGACCTTGTGCATTACCTAGTCCTAACCCCTCTGCCCTGTACAGGGACACCATGTCCTAGTTGTAACACATTGTGTGCTTACCACCCTTAATGGGGTCACACTGTGATCTCCTAAGCGGGAGAGCAGCACACACATGCTGTGTAGTTTATAATGCAGCAGTGATCTTGCAGTGGCAAGACTCAGTCGCCAGCGTTGTTTCTTTAAAAAAACAGAAGCAGTTTTTCGGAAGCACTTCACCCTCGCCGACAGCGAACGGGGTCTGAGGGGTTTGCGCTCGGGTTCTGTATGGTTCAGCACGACGCCCCCCGCAGCCCCGCGCTGGGCTCCCCGCGCGTCCCCGTTGTGCTGCGGCGCGCCCCCTGGCGACGCGCGTGTGTAGGTCCGGTCAGACGTGAGAGTGCGTGCCCCGCGGCACGGCGCCTCACAGCCCTGGTCAGTGTCTGCGAAGAAGCTTTAAGGGAAGCTTCTCCCCTGCAGCCGCTGAGCGGGGGGATCACGAACAAAGTGCAAGCAGTGGGCTGCGGCTGTGTTTGGAGGATGAGATGGCATAACGCAGAAAGCTCAGGCAGCCACCAGCCGTAGTGCATCAGTTTGAATCATAGCCTGGTTTGGGTCAGAAGGGACTTTAAAGTTCATCCGGTTCCAACCCCCTACCACAGGCAGGGCCACCTCCCGATAGAGCAGGTTGCTGAAAGCCCTGTTCCCTGTCCAGCCTGGCCTTGAACGCTGCCAGGGGTGGGCAGCCATCTTCAATCCTTCTGTGTGATATCGAGCCTGCTGATTCCTACTAGAACAAAACAGATTTCTTGGTAAATAGTGCTTGAGTACTTAGAAGGTTTGACTGATTCACTTCTGATTGAGGAAGTGCAGTGGGTATGGCTGAGCTCCCTGGTGATGTCTGTCATACTACAAGAGAGAATGAAAGGTAATAGTGTGCCTAAAGTAAGCAGAAACTTGTCAGACCCGTGAGCTGGACAAGATCTCTGACCCTCAGCCCAGTGTGTTAGTCACAAAACACATGTTCCCTTTGAAGGCCTCTGAGGAAGGACTGTGGGGATGCATCAGTCAATGTAAGTAGTTGATATATGTGTATGAAATACCATCCTTACACTTGCAATTCTGATTTGTCTATATAATCATATTTTTTCAAAGTCAGAATTCATCTATGAATTTATTTTAACAGTTTCTGAGAAGGTAACTACAGTATTCAAGGGAAAATTCTATTTTTAAAGAAAGTTAGATAAATTCGTACTGCGTTCCCACTGGGCACGTGCTTAACATAGACTGTGTGGGTATGAGATTAAAGAAAAAATATGCTTGCATTCTAACTGATTTAAAGAAACTGTCAGAGTTATGATTGCAGTGAAGACATTTTCTGGTTCCTTTGTTCAAAGATAGTTTAGCAGGAATAACCTGTAAGTGATCCCCTTTGGTCCAGTTCACAGTGATCACACAGATCACTGCTGCGGTGTTTCTAATTTCCAGACTACCCAGCATCACATACAGAATTCCTGCAGGCTCAATGATGGTAGTGATTTTTGTTTAGACTGCTTGAAGGAAGGTAAGATGAGTATAATTTCCCCAGCTACACCAAGAGCTTCAGCTGAACCTATTGCTGTTCTGGAGGAGCAAAATGCATTTACAGATCTGCAGTGTAAGTGCTGAAGCAGCTAGGCCATAAGTCTGTATAGGTCAGTCAAGTACAAAGAAGATAGTTTTACCTCATTTATTCATTTTTGTCTTTACATTCTTCCAGGCAGGGACTTATATTTACACACACTTGAAACTGTTCTGCTTTTCGGCAGTTACTGCTGTTATGTTTTTGTTTTTAAAAAATGGAATTTGGAGAGTTAGGTAGGTAAATACAGTGTACAATAGAGCAGTGAAATCTAGGACATTAAAGTTTTGCGTAAGTCTGGTTTTGTGAGATTTCAGTAGGATATTGGCAGGGTATGCATCTTGTCAACTCTTAAGTAGATAAAAGTGCAGGCCATATTATGAACAGTATTTTAGAGACTACAGAGTGTGACAAATAGAAAGCAGTTTGGCTTCCAGAGTTAAGTAACTTGGATTATTAATGAAAATTCAGCAGAGAAGAGCATGCTTTTTAGCTGCTGTCTCAGTCAAACTTGGATATTAGTGACCATACTGCTCTACCCTCTTTGAGAAAGGCTTTTCAAGTTTTTATTAGTTTTGTGGCATGTGGGGATTGTCAAAATGCATCAGGTAAAAGATAGTTCCAGAGCTAAACATTCCCAGAGGGCTGGTAATGTCCAGATACCTTTATTGTGCTCTTAATGTTTCCTTTCTATGGTCTTTCTCGTTTCGAGTTTTCTGATGGAAGAAAACCAGAAGATTCTGACCTTCTCATAAAACAAAACAACAGTTCCCAAACCTGCTGAATGCACTTGGAATTTCAAAAAGCATGCTCCCAAAATTATTTGTAGTCAGGTTGATGGTTTCACAAGCGAACGCATTTCTTAGTATTTCTCTAAACTGCATTTTTCAAGATTTGTTTTCTCTAAAGAATTATTTTGAGCCCAGAATTGTGGACCAATGTGGAGTCCTGTATGGGAAGGAGACCCAGTGTCTTCAGCCCATTCAGTCCCTATAAATGGAGCTGCCTCCAGGCTGTGCAAATTGAAAGGACGTGGGGAATGGATAATCCTTGCAGAGTCCGGACGCAGACTGCATGGTGGATTCAGCTGAGGTAAGAGCTAGACGTCAAGAAGCCTGCTAAGACGTTGGCCTGGGACCATGCATCTGGAGCATTCCTAGTACGCAGCAGTTCCTAGAAAGGCTGAGCTCGGCCTTTCATCATTAACAGCCACAAGGGACAATATCCGGTGGGAAGATCCCTTTCACTTACACAGGATGAAAGCGCAGTGTGGTGTTTGTTGTTGGGTAGATTTTGAGTGCTAGTGAACTGTCAAAAGAAAAAATCTTGAGTAGCAGTTCCAGTAGCTTTTGTTGAATATTCCTGTGTGGTTTTGGGCTAATTACAAACACAACTTTTGTCTTTGTAAGTCAGTAAAGTGGGTAACCAATGTCTCAGCAGTTAATGAGTTTGACAAGTTCAAACCTTGAATGTGACTTTTCATAAATATTTCTATTTACAGTTGGTCTGATTTATTCTTCAGTTTTATGCAGGGCTCCTGGATCAGCTGAACTGCTTTGCTGTGCTAACAGAGCTGCTCATTTTAGGACTGTCTCCAGGCTTTCCAAGAAATGTCTTTGGCCTACCATTTCTTTAACTATACAAACAAATCTCTGTGCAGTTTTGCTTTTTTGCTCTTGATACATTATCTAATCGGTCTTCTTAATGTTTGCTTTGCTCTCCCAAACCCGTTATAGACACTAACATAGACAATAAAAGGGCTGTTGGTATGTTTGTGGCTGGATAATTTGTATTCTAGCAGCAGTGCTTCCTGAACCACTTAAGAAAACCAGTATTTCAAGAGTACAGGGAATCAGCTGGAGCCTCACCAGAATTCTCTGTAAATATCAGTGTTGGTCTTCAATAGCTTTTTGACATAAATTACATCATTGTGAGTTGGAGGAGTTATAATGATCTATTACCTAAGTTATGTTTAATTCTTGGGATATACATCTGCTACCTATAATCTTAGTAGATTTTAGGATGACAAGTGAGAAAAGAATCTGTATGGGTACTTCATCTATTCTAATCTTAGAAGTATGGAGCATGATATAAGGACTACTGGCCAAGGTACATGCGTTCCAGCTTGGCTCATGCCCTGTTTAGTTATATTTCCATGGGATTGAGATTTTACTGACAAGGCTTGTCTCACAATTCATAAGTAGGTTTTTGTGGAC